CAATGTTTACTGAGGTAATAAATCAAGAGAGAAGTAGAGTCATTTTCCCATAGACTTCTATACAATCCTCCATGAACGATTTCCTTGCCAAACATAAATAAGTATGATAGAAAGCACCTCCTCACATCCATCTTGGTGAGACTAGGACGTGAGACGAGGAGGCGAGGATGTACAAACTGAGGAATGAGAAGAACCCCGGACCAGGTCTCCTCTCATGTGGACTTACAGGACGGTTTGGCTCCAGAGTTCAAGTTGGGCAGACTGCACCTCAGAGCTTCTCTCCTCTAAATCAGAGAAGAAGAAGAAACAGAAACATCACTAAAGTTTATCCTCCTTAAAGAAGAAGTCTGGTTTGTTAAACCTACTGAAGGACGACTCCTAATCCCTCCTCCTTCCTCCCTCCAGACTTGTCCCTCCCTCTCCCGTCCTCACCCTCCAGGCTTGTCCCTCCTCCCTCTCAGCGCTCTGGGCCTCCATGGGGTTCTGGATGACCCGTCCTCCGGTCTTCCCTGAGAAGTCCATGGCCACCAGACTGGCCTCAGACTTTGACTGAAACAGATGAGTTTAGAAACGTGAGTCGACGCTACAGAACTACGTCATGCGACCCGCGACCCGACGCTACAGAACTACGTCATGCGACCCGCGAGGTGAACTCACTTTGACATCCACCACTTTGGTTCCTTCCAGGTGCCTCGGGGCCGACTTTGATAACTGGTAGTTGGACTGGAGCTGCTTCCCGTACTGATCACACACAAACACAATAAATGATTTCACTCTCATAACGACGGTGAAGATGTATTGTTGAAAGCCAATGAGTGAAGACAGAAGAGGACCGGAGACCTTGAAGAGCCTGAAGGCCGACGTCCAACACGTTCGAGTCTGCTCGTTCTCAGCACACAAGATCTTCAGGTCCTGAAGTCGGAGCGGATTCCTGGAAGGCTGCAGAAACAACAACACGGAGTGAAGAGCAGCAGGCGATCCGTTCATTGTTAACAGGACCGCAGCTAAAGAAGCAAAACATCAAAGACGTTTGGTTCTGTAGGTTTCACAGAACAAAGTAGAGTTCAGAGGATATTCTAGATCCAAGAGGAAACTGACAGATGGGACTCACCGTTACCTCTTTACTTAAGATTACATTAAACTTATCTTCTGTTCAAAATGTACCGAAACTCTGTCAATGAGGAAGATCTGTGGTCGATAATAATGAGAATAAACCCTCTAAACTAAAAATAAATCTGGTTTGAATTGAGCTCAAACATCATCATTATTAACACTTATTATTTATAGATGTTACCTTAATGCAGAAGGTGAAGTCCGCTGGCGCTCCGTACTGTTTTCGGCTGTTCACCACCGTGTAAACGTTCAGATCGTCCAGATCAGCCACGTACTGCAGGTGTCGAGGCTCCTGGTGACACACACACACACACACACACACACACAATTACAGGTCTAAAAGAACCCAGTGAGATTTGAAAAGCCCTGCTGGTTCTGGGTTTTGGGACTCGACCCGCCAACCTTTGAGGAGCCTTTGGTGGAGCAGTAGAGTCCGGAGCGGCGGAGGAAGTAGTAGACCTTCTTCCAGGACTTGCGACTGGGCTCTTTGACCTGCAGGAAGCCCTGGATCTCCGGACACGTCCCGGATCTCAGCAGGTTCTGAGGAACACAGAAGAACCCATTGAGTTATTTTACCCTCACAGAGAAATGAAACTTTAAATATGTATGAAAAAGTAAAATCATGCGAATAAACTAATAAGAATCGAAGAGATAAAGTAGTGTAGACTCTGAATTGTAAGTCGCTTTGGATAAAAGCGTCTGCTAAATGACTAATTTAATGTAATGTAGTGCAGCCGTTGAAGCTGTAGCTGTTCGTGTAGTTTGGAATTCTCTTTAAATCCCGACGGCAGTAAATAAACGTGCTGCTCGTTACTTTCATCTGATCTCACGGGCCTGTGCTTCTGTTCGGTCCGTTTTAAAGTAGTTCATTCTTTCTGGGTCCTTAATCTTACCGACTCAAGCTATTAAACAGAATATACAATATAATATGATAGTGGACAGTAATAGTAAATGGTACAGCTTGTATTTTTACCAAAAATAATGACTACAATAGTTATCAATGTTTTAATCAAAAGGAAATGTCTGTTCCTAGCTTATTCAATGTGAGGATTTAATGCTTTGCTTGCTTGTGTTTGAAGACTTTCAGACATAACGTGACATTAACAAGCATCGTCTTTGGCTTCGGGAACATTTTTCACACTTTTCTTACATTTTACAGACAGAACGGTAAATAAACCGTTTCAGGGAAGATTCTGTGAAAAAAAAAAAATCTGATAAAACTGGAAATATATTCCGTTTAGTTTATGAAAACTTGAATAATTAAGAGAAAAATGTAACTGATAATCAACAGGATTCATAAAAACATGAATAAATAGAATAAAGAGAGACTTTGGTCGCGTTGACTCTGTGAGATTCACCTGAATGAGATCCGATGACGTCATCCCCTTGCTGACGTCGGTGCTGTCGGCGATCATGCTCTCTGGGAAGAAGAGCTGAGGAAGAGGAAGAAGAAGGTTTAAAGACAGAGAAGATGAAGAAGATGAGACTCACTTTAGAGGATTCATACTTTGACGTTTATTTAGAGGAAACATACAAACTTAGTTTGAACAAAGTCTTTTTATGACATTTTGACACATCACCTCACACTTTGGTCTGTTTTTAAAACCTTTACATCTAATAGACAGATTTAACAATATTGAAATCAATAATAAAGCATTTTTCAAGGAGTATATTTGAGTTCGAGCACATTCCTAACCTTGTAAAACACAGTTAAACCTTCAGACTTCAGCCGGAGCCGTGAACTCAACGTCTGCATCCTGTTTGCATGAGGCGGTCGCTGCTCACGTGACACAGCGAACCCGTGACCACACGGAGGAAGGCGTGGCTTCACTGTACAGACAGAACCAGTTCTCATTGTGATCCGTCACGTTTGTTTAAACGGCGACGGACCAGATGTGATGTAATGAAACACCCGGAGGCGTCGAGTCTGCACCGGCACGCAACCCGCCAATCAGTCAACGTGGTCGTGTAACAGCTGACAGTTATTGTTGTCTGATGCTATTTGCAGAGTTTGTTGATGAGCTTTAACCTCACCAGTCTGTAGAATTAGACTTTAACATTAATCTAAGTCACCAAAGTACAGTGAAAGTGGGATGTTTTTGACAGAGACCTGTCAATCACCGTGTAGCCCCGCCCTAAAGCATCCCCTG